GGAAGGAAGGAAGGAAGGAAGGAAGGAAGGAAGGAAGGAAGGAAGGAGGGAGGGAGGGAGGGAGGGAGGGAGGGAGGGAAGGAAGGAAGGAAGGAAGGAAGGAAGGAAGGCGAGGCAGCCATCAGATTCCCTGCAGAAGGAATACAGCTCCTCTATTTATCACCCCATTTATTTTAAGACTGTATACACTACCCTTCCAGCTAGGTTATTTCCCACTTCCACAAACATTTGCAGGGATTATTACAACAGGGCACAAAACCAAGGCTCCCTTATCCGCGGGAGGAGCTGTCTTCTTCTCTTGCAGAAACAATGAAAAAGGACTTGAGAAGAATTCCGAAACTTTGGGAGAATCCCATTCTAGATACAGCAACCTCCAACCTTGGCAAATATAAGATGTGTCGACTTTCAACTCCCAGAACTCCCCAGCCAGCCTCACTGTCTTAAAAAGCTGCCAAAGTTGGCGACCTGGCATTTTGGCAGGTGGCTTTGTCAGAAACAGTGTCGTTTAGTTCAGTTTAGTTTACATTATTGTCCTTGTACCTCGCACAGCGAAATTAAACACCATCTTCAGTGTACGTTATGACTACGAAAATAAAACACAAACACACACCCTTCACATTCTATACACTGAATTGAAAACCCTTGGTATTGCATTAATATTGCACTATACAGTAGAGTCTCCTGCTTGGGTGCAGGGTTGGACTAGATGACCTACAAGATCCCTTCCAATTCTTTTAATCTATCATCTGACCCCTGGGAAGAGTTTGCTCTTCAAAGCACAGAGCAGAAATCTTTCTGCCCCCTTCCCCAAAATAGCAAAATAAAGTTACTCGAACAGAGAAACACAGGACAAAACTCAACCCCGAAGTCCACTTTCATTTTAGGTCCCTGGAACAAACGCTGCCTTGTGGCTTGATCCGAACCCAAGACTATTAAACTTGTGAGGCAATGGCTCAAAAGCCTTAGTAAGACCACACCTAGAGTACTGTGTCCAGTTTTGGTCACCACACTATAAAAAAAAGATGTTGAGGCTCTAGAAAAAGTGCAGAGAAGAGCAACGAGGATGATTAGGGGAGTGGAGACTAAAAACATATGAAGAACGGTTGCAGGAACTGGGCCTGGCTAGTCTAATATTATTACTATTATTACTTTTTAATAGAAAGTGCAAAGAAGAGCAACCAGGATGATTAGGGGACTAGAGACTAAAACACATAAAGAATGGTTGCAGGAACTGGGCATGTCTAGTCTAGTGAAGAGAAGGACCAGGGGAGACAGGATAGCAGCTTTCCAATATTTGAGGAGCTGCCACAGAGAGGAGGAAGGTGGGTCAAGCTATTTTCCAAGGCACCTGAAGGCCAGACAAGGAATAATAGATGGAAACTGATCAAGGAGAGATTCAACCTGGAAATAAGGAGAAACTTTCTGACAGTGAGAACCATCAACCCATGGAACAGAAGTTGCCCTCGGAAGTTGTGGGAGCGCCATCACTTGAGACTTTCAAGAAGAGATTGGACTCCCATCTGTCAGAAATGGTGTAGGGTCTCCCACTTGGGCTGGGGGTTGGTCTAGATCAGGGGTCCCCAACCACCGGTCCACGGACCGCTACCGGTCCGCGGAACAACTCCTACCGGGCCGCTGGCTTGCTGGGCGCCACCATCTTTTTTTCATGAAAAAGTGCTTCCGGTGAGCTTTTCCGGGTAGAAAGCTCACCGGAAGCACTTTTTCATCAAAAAAAGATGGCGGCGCTCAGCTGATGCCGGTACCGGGCCGCAGCGCCCAGCTGATGCCGGTACCGGGCCGCGGCGTCAAAAAGGTTGGGGATCACTGGTCTAGATGACCTACAAGGTCCCGTTCCAACTCTGATTATCTGTTCTCTGCTTGATTTTACAAAAGGGCACTTTTAAAAAAAGAAAAGAAAAAAAAGAAGAAAAAAAAGAAAAATCAAGCAAGGCACCTGGCTTGCGTAATTCCCCCCCCCCCCCCCCGATGCTTCCCTCCTCAAACTTAGCAAGCGACAAGGAGCGTTCATGGGTGGATTTGAACCGGGATTTAAGGAAGAGGAGAGAGAGAGAAAGAGAGAGAGAGCCTGGCAGAGTAAATTATTTGGCTTTGCCGCAGACGATGAATACCCCTTTACTCATCCAGTGTGACTAACCACCCAGTCTGGTCAATCCAGTTTTTTTCGGTCCGCTAAAAATCTCCTGAGAGCTACGAGAGGATGATGTATAATTTGCATATACTGTACAAGGTAGTCCTCAACCCCCATGGCTCATTTAGCGACCATTCCAAGTTACGACGGCCCTGAAGAAAGTGACTGACGACCATGTTTCACACTTTGTAGGAGCTGAAATTCAGGCGCTTGGCAATGGATTCGTACTTACGACTGCTGCCGTGTCCTGGAGGTCGCGTGATTCCTCTTTTGCAAACTTTGGACAAGCGAAGATCGCTACAGATCCGTGCTTAATAACCGTGTTACTAACTTAACGATGGCAGGTGATTTGCTTAACAACCATGGCAAGAAACGTGGTTGTAAGTCGAGAAGGACCTGTGTATGATTCTGCAAATTCAGAAGGGAAGCCAAAACAATATTTGCACACACACACATTTCCCCTTTTGGTGCCTGGGATGGACCACCCTCCTGGTGTGCAAAACATTAAGGAGAAGATTAGCTTTGGATTTGCGATTTTTTTTTCAGGACCGTTGCAACTTGGAACGGTCACTAACTCGATGACTACCTGAGCTTGTCAGGAATTCTTAAAAAGAAGGAAAATAGATCTTACTCAAACTGACGGCCGTTTGTTTAACCGCCGCTTGAAATTACAACAGGGTGCATGAAAAATGTCACACCAACACACACACACCTGTAAGTCACACGACGTTTGGCAAATGTCTTGCCTTTAGGAGTGAGGGCACAATGAGGACTAGCACCTCACCTGGCAGCCTCACGGAGATGGGCAGACGGAGCCCTAACTTCAACTAAAAACAAAACCCAACTATTCACCTTCCACCGCCTTCCTTCCTCTAAGTTTCCTTGGCGGGGCGCCTGCAACACCCCGAATTTGGAAAAGGACAACCTGTAACTCTCCGCCCACTCAGGCTGCCAGCCCGGTGAACACCTGAAGCCTGGAGCGTTTGGGCGACTAGGATCCTGACCCAACAAGCTCTGCAGGAAATTCCACCTTTGTGGGGAGGCTTCTCAGGCAACCAGGACGGAGTATCGGGTTGCTGCACCGAGCTTGCAAGCTCCCTAGGGACAGCCATGTATGCACACACGCACCACAGGCAGAGGCTGCAGAAAACGCAACGGAGGCCAGGCCTCTGTGCACTTTGCACCTCCTGGCTCCTTCCAGTTCACGGGTGCGTTGGCAAGCTAACCATCACTAAACCAGGGTATCCAACGTTGCTGGGTTTTAAGACTTGTGGATTTCAACTCCCAGAATTCCCCAGCCAGCAATTCTGTTGACTTTGAGACTTTTGGACTTCAACTCCCAGAATTCCCCAGCTAGCAACCTTGGTGACGTTAAGATTTGTGGATTTCAACTCCCAGAATTCCCCAGCCAGCAATCTTGGTGACTTTGGGAGTTGTGGACTTCAACTCCCAGAATTCCCCAACCAGCAACCTTGTTGACTTTGATTCTTTGGACTTCAACTCCCAGAATTCCCCAACCAGCAACCTTGGTGACGTTAAGTTTTGTGGATTTCGACTCCCAGAATTCCCCAACCAATCTTGGTGACTTTGAGACTTCAACTCCCAGAATTCCCCAGCTAGCAACCTTGGTGCGTTAAGATTTGTGGATTTCAACTCCCAGAATTCCCCAGCCAGTTTTGGGAGTTCTGAGAGTTGGAAGTCCGCAAGTCTTAAAGTCACCAAGATTTGACACACCTGATTTAAAGGAAACAGGGGTGGGGAGGAATCCAGCAGGTTCAAAATCCTCCTCCAGAATGGACAGCCTCCTAGTTGGATCACCAGCTGATTACCCAAAGGCCTAGCAGAGGATTCTACATTTCTGCAAAGCTTGCTCATCTGGTGGCTTTGTATTTTTTCTCTCCCCT